AGAATCTTTGATTTCTGCCAAGTTGGGGCTTTTAATTTGTATCATGTTTCTGGGTCTTAATAGTTCTTTGTATTTTCAGTAGTGTTCTCGAAGAGCCAAAAACTCTTAGAATTGTTTACAAACTTTTTTAATATATCTTTTTGGTCACAAAAGAAGCATATTCTTGGTGCAAATTTCTACTTGATGGTAACCTTGTTGTCCCTTATATGTGTAAATCTTTGAATTTTGGTTTCTAGGTTGGTATCCTCTATGGTTTCAAATGTAACAATCCATTGATCTGTTAAGTAGGGAGTTCCTTTGATCAAGAGAGGTTTAATAAAAACAACTTTTCCTATATCTTCAAAGGCTTCTTGAATTAAGTCTGATACTTTGTTTTTGTCTCCTAATGAGACATTTCTGACTTTCACTGATAAGAAAGATCTATGAGCGTCTGTCGGGATGTACCCTGTGTATGTCCTATTAAAGATTCTAACTCCAAAAATGATCTTCATAACTCTTTCCTGTACACATTCGGCAGAAAAAAAGATTTTATTAAAAAACAAGATAACTATTTTATGAAGAAAGGAAAACTTATCTAAGCTACAAGTAACAAAGGCTAAAGCCCTTGTTCCACTAAAAAGAAAACACAACCAAGCAGTTTCTTTAAATCAAATACATAAAAAATGCAAAATGTTTGACTTGACAGACAGGACCACCAACAATGAAGACTTAATGGGAGCTTTCTTGTCTAAATCTAAACCAACAGATACAAATACAAATACAGCCTATAAGCTTAACAAAATTACTAACACAAGTTCACAAACAAGCAACAAAGAAAGTTGGGCTAACTTGACAGAACAAGAAAACCCTTGACTACTCTCAGACATGTCTCAACAAAAAGACAACAACAATATACAAAACAACAAAACAAAACGTGTTTGGGAAAACACGGAAAAACCAGATCCTTCATGTGATCCAGCCAATCACTCTGGAATAAACTTCTCTGATGAAAATCCTTATTATCATCTCTTAACAAAGGATTCAACACAGCATACTAGTAACAAAAAATCTGAAAACACTCCCTCAAAGCAATAGTCAGACCTCTTCCCCAAACTAAGAAGAGGATGTGCAACCTACTCAACATACTCCCCAAGAGAGCAAATTAAGTCAAAGAATATCAATGCCCTTGTCATCAATATCTCTCAAATGCTAAGCTCCTTTAACGAAATCACTGTTTCATTATACAAAAATGCTAAAAATGATGGTATAGCAATTAAACAACACCTTAAAAAAGGCTCACGCTCCTAGTTAGAAATTATTTTTGCCAACCATGATTTTTTAAAAGAATATGCAGTGAAAGAAGTCAGAATCTTTAATAGAACATACACAGGGTACATCCCAACAGACGCTCATAGATCTTTCTTATCAGTCAAAGTCAGAAATGTCCTATTAGGAGACAAAAACAAAGTATCAGACTTAATTCAAGAAGCCTTTGAAGATATAGGAAAAGTTGTCTCTATCAAACTTCTCTTGATCGAAGGAACTCTCTACTTAACATATCAATGAATTGTTACATTTGAAACCACAGAGGATACCAACCTAGAAACCAATTCCTCGATTTACACATATAGGAGACAACAAGGTCACTACTGAGTGGAAATCTGCACCAAGAATATGCTTCTTTTGTGACCAAGAAGGACATATTAAAAAAAACTAAACAATTCCAAGAGTTTCTGGCTCTTCAAGAACATTACCGAAAATACAAAGAACTATTAAGACCCAGAAACATGATACAAATTAAAAGCCCCAACTTGGCAGAAATCAAAGATTCT